ACTAAACCCAGATGACTCCAACTTTAATGAAGGCACTATTCAAGATGTGTAAGCACAGTTAAGGGAACCAAAAATGGAGGATGAGGTGGCCAGACACGAGCAACACCAGGAAGTTAGGACCATGCTTGTCAGAAAGGCAAGGGTGAGGAAATGGAGTTCCCTGATCCCAGTGAGACCCCAAGCCATGGAAAAGGGGCTGCTGACAGAAGCTGCTGAGAAGGAAGCAGCAACTGCCAGAAAATAAGAAAATGCAGCCCAGAGCAGGGAAAAACCCCAGACTCACTCTCCTTCTGCATGCCCATCTCTTGCTAGTTCCTTCCATTGGTGGAACCCAAGTGAGCAATGAGCCCCGGTGTTAAGTCCATGGAGCTTAGCTTCCTGGGGCACAGGGCAAACACAGTTACCAACCACAAGGCAGCTGAATAATGTCAGGTATTCTTCCACCTGGAACCTAAATTGTGAAGTTAGCCGCCACCAATGTTTTTCATACCAGATAGTCGGGCATGGGGGGAACTAGAGAAGTGGAGAAGAAGAAATAATCAATGAATGTAAGATATCCACAGTAGCTACAGATCCTGCCTCAGTAGGCGATCATGAGGCTAAGCTGGTACTCATAGCTCCCTTCTTCCACCATCTATTCTATATTCTCCTTACCTTCTGCCAGCACACTGGCTGGAGCGGAGTCTTGGCTTGGTGGGATGACCCGAACCTTCATTTCCACTGGATTCACTGCGAGGTGGTCCTGTCTTTTTATTGCTTTGCTATAGTTTTACATTTATGGTTATTGGGTATGGGAGTACTAAGAGACACCCTGGTGAATCCACTGGAAACAGACATAGTTCTCCTTGTCCCATGTGGTAGCAGCAACCTAATTTCCACTTGATAATCACCCTAGCCAATATTGAAAACCTTTTTTTTTTTTTTGCTATTGACTCAATTGCCTGAGAAGCCCAGAATGACCAGAGGGAAGTCAGAGCCTCCAATTTAAAGGGTATAATTTAATGTTTGTATTCTCTGAAGGAAGTGTTCTTTGGGAAATAAGACCTCCACTCACTTAAACCAAAATTGCAGGAGAAAAACAAACAAAAAAAATTTAGTGAATTATTAAGTATAAATATGAGAAGTATCACTCCCACTTCCTCCCTGGACCCTTGTATTCTGGCCATGGAGAAGATGGTACCATATATTAGTTTTTTAAAGGTATATACACATCCTTTGACATCACCCCAACTTTGCAGATTGTTGTCTCCTAGATGGCATTCCCAGAAACCACCTGGCTGTGATTTACTAAGCTATTTCTATGCATCCAGAATTTGTCTTAAGGTGTGACATCTTAAGGAAGTTTTTGCTGATGGCTTTACCATCTCTCTATGAAAGGGATATTTTGGTTATTTGAGAACATCTTGCATTTTCATCACCAAAACAAACACAACCAAGAAAACAGGAACCACTCTTGTTCTATAGCGACCTTCTTAGGTTCAACAGGCAGACCCCACCTAAGATACTTGGCTTTTGCCATGCTATTTGATGCCTAATTATCACTCATATCTCAGCTCTCGTTGGCTTACCCCATCTAGTGGAGAATATGTCCTGTATCAGCCATTTTCACAGAAATGTTTTAGATCTCCTATTAAGAACCATTGCTAATGACAACCTGGTAATTCTGTGGCACTTACAAGTGTGAAAGCTCTGTAACCATCAACAAAGTGTCAAGTGGGCCCTGTGTTGAAGTCCGGGAAAAAAAATACTAGTCCCTTGCCGAAACCGGTTTGGCTCAGTGGATAGAGCGTCGGCTTGCAGACTGAAAGGTCCCAGGTTCGATTCCGGTCAAGGGCATGTACCTGGGTTGCGGGCACATCCTCAGTAGGAGATGTGCAGGAGGCAGCTGATCGATGTTTCTCTCTCATCGATGTTTCTAACTCTCTATCTCTCTCCCTTCCTCTCTGTAAAAAATCAATCTACACTAATAAAAGAGAAACACGGTAATTAGCGTACGACCGCTACCCTTCCCATTGGCTAATCAGCATATCCTTATGCAAATTAACTGTCAGCCAAGATGGCGGCTGGCAGCCATGCACTGAAGCGAGCAGGGAGGCTTGCTTTCTCCAGTGACTGCTAACTCCAACGTTCCCCACCTAACTTGCCGGCCTCTCAGCTGCAACTCTAAGCAACTATGTACTATGTTGCAAATAAGAAACTAAACAAAACCCCAGAAACCAGCCGGACTGAAAGCCAGCCAGACCGCAACATTGTATTGATGTTTTCAGCAGTGAGGCCTCAGAGCTAAAGCTGGCCCAGAATAAAAAAAAAAAAAAAAGAAACAAGGAGTGGTTGGGAGCTTCAGTCACCCACTTGCGGAAAACAGCCCTCAGCCCTTCACCCAGACTGGCTAGGCACCCCAGTGGGGACCCCCACCCTGATCCAGGACACCCTTCAGGGCAAACCAGCCAGCCCCTACCGATGCACCAGGCCTCTATTCTATATAGTAAAAGGGTAATATGCCTCCCGGCACCGGGATCAGCATGACAGGGGGCAGCGCCCAAACCCCCTGATCAGCCCTGCTCTGTGCCTGATAGGGGGGAGCTCCCCAATCCCCTGATCGCCCTGCGGCTCTGTGTGTGACAGGGGGCGGGGCCACAACCTCTCTATCCGCCCTGCTCTGTTCGTGACAGGGGAAGGCGCCCCAACCCCCTGATCAGCCCTGCTCTGTGCCTGATAGGGGGGAGCTCCCCAATCCCCTGATTGCCCTGCAGCTCTGTGTTTGACAGGGTGCGGCACACCAACCCCCTGATTGGCCCTGCTCTGTGTGTGACAGGGTGCGGCGCCCCAACCCCACCCCCCACAGGCCCTGCTCTGTGTGTGACAGGGTAGAGCCATAACCTCCCCATTGGCCCTGCCCTGAGTGTGACAGGGTGCAGCGCCCCAACCCCCTGATTGGCCCTGCTCTCGTGGATGAAAGGGGGAGTGCCCCCACTTCCCCAATCGCCCCTTCTCTTTGATAACAGGGGGGAGGTCCTCAACCCCCTGATGGGCCTGCTCTGTGCGTGACAAGGGGGAGTCCCTCAACCCCCTGATCGGCCCTGGCTCTGTGCATGACAGGAGGGGAGGTATCCAACCCCCTGGATCGTCCCCTGCTCTGTGAAGTGAAAGGGGGGGACCCCGCAACTTCTCTATCCTCCCCTGCTTTTGATGGGAAAAGGGGGGGGGTGCCCCAAACCCCCCAAATCGGCCC